GGTGTTCCATTACAAAAAACATAACTTTTTTTGGGGACACCCTATAGAACTCTCTATATTTTTAAAAAGTGCTCTGAATTAACCTACATATGCTCACAAAATTTCATTTCAATACAAAGTGTCGTTCTCCTTGGAGCCTCCCGGGCGTATGAGAGGCGCCACCCTCAGCGGCGTGCGGTGACAATTATAGGCCGGGAAGCGAATCGGTAAAAAACCCTATTTCGGACATTACTTTTACATTTTCTTAAAAAACTTACCTTTGAAAATTCCGAGGCCAATTCCATTGTTCGATTAATATTCTATCGAAAATCGTTAAACAAACAAAAACACATAAAGTTATAATAGTTAAAATACGATATTTTAAATTAATTTTCCGAAGCACTTGACGCGCGATAGGCACCTATTTGTGTTTGAGGTCTATTCGTCTATCAGCCATTGCAAATTTGTCTATAACACCATCATAAAATTTTGGATTTAATCAGTGCCGGATTAAGGTTCTAGGGGGCCCGGGGCTATAGGCTACCCTTGGGGCCCCCAGGTCGGATTATTTTTTCCTCATTGCTGTTATTTTCACTTAAACTAATATTGCTTAAAGTTGAACAGGAAGGCAGTTGTTCATGATCTTAATATTTATCCATCTCAGAATTTGACGTTAAAGGGGTTTCGCAAATTCTAAAAAAGTCTGTTACTTTAGTCAGTTTTAAAGTTTTCTTTAGTTTTTCTTCTTGAATCTGAAATTAATTTAAAATATTCCTAAGTTTTCGTAGATTTAAAAATACAGGGTTTTCCGAAACTATTGTAACAAAATCTAAAGGTAGGTAGATCTCGCCAAAACTGATGGTCGGAAATGCGTCGTTTTCAAAATACAGAGTGTTAAACTTTTAAGAAAAAAAATCGATCTTTTTTAATATCTATTACACCACTGTATACCACCCTACGGTACTTAAACAAAATATTATTGAATTGAATATTATTGCACCGTTTTCGCTTAAAAACATAAAAACCATTTTCGGCATTTTCATACATGGCCAAATCGCTAAAATGGTAATGTAAATTTTTAATGGTAAAACTTGAAAAACGACAATTTAGGTTTTTGGGCATTTTAGTTCGTACTATGTTCATAGAAAGAAGTTTTTGGAAAATAAAAAATCTTTTTAAACTTAAATTTGCCGTTTTACAAATTTTGCCATAAAATTTATGATAACATTTTAGCGATTTGGTCATGCATGAAAATGGTTTTTATTTTTTTACGCGAAAACGGTGCGTCGGACAAAAAAAGTCAAGAAATAAAATATGTTGTAAATTGAATGGGGATTTCAAAAATAATATTAATTTTATTTAAAAAGTAGTGGCGTACATTGCAATAGACAACGCGAATTGCAATAGAGACTTCAAACTCTACAGATATAAAAAGACTCAAAAGACCTTTAAAACAAGGTATCACTCGACCCCCTATTCCATTTAAAATTTTAAGGGTGATAGCTACTCCGTCAAAGGGGTGCAAGCAAAGAGGGTGCAAATACCAAAAAAATAATTCTCCCTGAAAAACAAAATCGACGTGTCCGAGCATTTTTCGAATTATTTATTTACAAGCAAGAAATCCGGGGTGGAAAGTTTTCGGTGGACCACCCTGTATAGATTTTTTCTTAAAAGTTTAACACCTTCTATTTTGAAAACGACGCTCTTCCGACCATTAGTATCCAATTTCAAAATATTTTGGCGAGATCTACCAATCCTTATACCTTTTGGCATAATAGTTTCGGAACACACTATATATTATTGAAAAATGTTGCTTAAAATAAGGCATGAAGCTCTTAAAACATCAATATCTCTCATTAATACGAGTATTGTTTAGCAATTTTCAAAATTGGAGTAGTTCTCGAATTTTTTATATTTTATGAGCATACGGGAATTCTTTTTCATTTTCCATAAAGTTTATTTTTAAAAAAGAAATAGTATTTTATGGCCTCTATATAGGTACCTATTATATATTAATGCGCTTATTTTTAAAAGAAGAAACTTAAGAAAGTTATTGTAAATTGAATTGTTAATACCAAAGTTCTTATATATATGATCATACCCAGTAAATGCCTAATAAGGCTAAAACTGATTCCTACCTTACGTTTAGCAGATCCACTAAGATATTTTCTACATGACATTTTTTAAAATACTGGTATACACTACACAATTCAAAAACATATTATTGTTCTTGTTTTCTTAAATCTATTATTGGCAATCACTTACTTCATAGATGCGCTATGCAAAAATAACTAATCAAATAGAATAAAAAAGAGGAATCTAATCTGAATAATTCCCCTAGCGCTTTCGGCTTTCGGTAATCCATCCATCCAGAAAAATTTAAAAAGAAGAACAAGCCATTGTCTATGCAGCAATCTTGATATTTTTTTGGGAAAGTGTTTTGCCGCCCAAAAAAGAAAAGAAAAAGAGTCTGTTTTTGACATTATGAGAATAACAAGTTGGCTGTTGCAATATATTTAATAAGACTAAATATATTTCTATTGCACTGTTGCAGGTGTTCCAGGCTGGATTTTATTGTTTTTAAAATACAGTTTTAGTTACTTTTATAATAAATTAAAGATTTATAACAATATGTGACGAAAAATCGGTTTTTGTTACAAATCGGTATTTTTCGTAATATATGTACATTTTCATTTAACTAATCTCGATTTAACTCTATGAATCTCGATTTTAAATTCTCCTAATTTGGGGGCCCCTCTCAATGACGGGGCCTGGGGCTATAGCCCCCATAGCCCCCCCCTTAATCCAGGCCTGGATTTAATTTATTATAATATTACCTATAAAATCGCAAACGAACCCGTCCCGATAAATTAAAAGTCGAGGAAGGCGGCCGAAAGATCGCTGCCGTGGCTAGCAACTGTGCGCGATTTTCCGGCTTAAATTTGTCGTTTGCGTTCGAGGTCAATAACACCTACATGAAGGAGGGATAGGCGACCGGCGGCGATTCCCCGGCGCGCATCCATGCAGTAAAAGGCTAATTAAATTTACTAGATACGTTTATGTAAGGTTTCAAATAAATAATTTTAACAAATTAAATTAATCTTTTGTTATAAAATAACAGAATTATTAACGTTTAACTATTTATTTTTTTATCATTAAAAAGTTTAGGGAAGCGGTGCTTCCCCCGCTTCCATGGACCGCACGCCGCTGGCCACCCTGTACTATAAAATCAGACTTTTCCCTATTGTATTGAGATTATATAGAATAAAATAATCTAATAGTCTTCAGATCGAATACGACGATTACTGTCTCTTATATTTAGTAGTTAGTACCGTCACAGAATAGAGACAACGCGCGTACGTATTACAGTTTTAACACTTTTATATATTAAAGAAAATACCCAGGAGGAAACTTGTAAAGAGAAAAAGAGCTTTAAATATGCATAATTGATTATGAACATGCATTCGGATTTTATAGATTTTCTACTTAATATATTCTAAGTACATATTCGACATTTTCTACGCATTTTTCTACATACACGTAGAAAACTAATTTTCTACGTGTCGTTACCCAACCCTGAACATAAGGGTTAAATATGTGTAAAATCTTTGGTTTTTGAGATATTTTCAGATATTTAACTATGCATGCTACAATAGAATAGATTATCAACACCATGTACATTAATTTTCAAAATTAATTCTTGTGCTGAGTTTAGGTAGAGAAATAAGCTTTACTGAAAAATTTTATTGCTTCTTTAAATTTATACAGGGGTACCAAAAAATTGCTGATCAATTTTAAATATTTATTTTGCAAAAAAACTTTATTTCAAAGCAACACCCTGTATTTTTTTAAATAAATCGAAGCAGATTTAAATACTCTTTCTCTCTTCTGCATTATTTTTTCAAGAAAAATAAAGCAGTATCTGCTGGCGGAACGAATGGATATGTTACTAGTGATTTTATTTTGTAAAGAAAATTGCTTCTTGGCCTCAAGGGCTTATGCTTAAAGATATCCAAATAGGAATCTTCCTGATAAGCGTTCCTTTGAAAAACTACTTGTCCTATTTTGTAGAACTGGTAGTGTGATTTGTAAAAAATCTATTAAGACAGAAACCTGTAGTTGGAAGTGAAGAAAATGAATTTGCCGTAATTGGCTCTTTTATAGAAAATCCATATATCTACAACTCATCGTAAAATAAATCAAAGAACTACTTCTTTGTTTTTCTTGATAGAATAATATATATTTAATAAATATTATTTATTAAACTATTGTAGGGATAAATTAAATAAAAGTAAACTGGTATAAATTTAAATAAGTCCATTAACCAATTTCAATTTTGAAAATAGCTTCTAACTGTCACTAGAAACTTGCCATGACCCATGACGACACTAGCCCTCTTGGTTGCCATTTTATTGAAAAAATGCTCTTTATTCAAAATCTGAGCTAGATAGGTATAGGAAACCCTAATATAGTTTGAAAGAGCATTTGAATCTGCTTCGATTTATTTTAAAAAATACAGGGTGTTGTATTTGAAATAACAAACTTTTTATGTAAAATAAATATTTAAAATAGACCAGCCATTTTTGATACCCCTGTATACATTAGTCTACATTAAACAAAGCAATCAAATTTTTCAGTAAAGTTTATTTCTCTGGCTTAAAAGTCAGCTCAAGAATTAATTCTGAAAAGCAATGAACAGGGTGTTAACAAGTTTTTTTATTATAGCATGCATATTTAAATATCTCCGAAACCAAAGCTTGTAAACATATTTACCCTTATAAGAAATGCCTTATTTTGTGTCCAAGGATCCAAATATGAAATAAAATACCGAGTGATATACCCTTTAGATTTCAAAATAATTTTATTATGCACATTGCCTTCCTAAAAAGTATTTTGTTTCTACATCTTTCCATTTTCGTATATTTATTCAACAGAGGCGAATGAGATGCGCCACCCTGTATAAATAGCCTCATTGCAAGATTATATTTGTCAATATGTAAAAATAAAACTAAATATTATACCTGAAGAGCAATGTACATGACTACATATTTTCCCAGGATCATCTATACTTCTTTCTAGAGATACCCCATCTTGATGGTTACCACCTTTATTACAAGTTCCAATTGATATTTTTATTGCAGCCAATTCAGACACACTAACATTTGAGAGAAGACTCCGCTTCAAAAAATCATCTTCCGGATTTCTAAAAAGAATTAACTATATGTTTTGTCCATAGCAGTTAAATTATTTACCTACTTTGAAGTGCTGCGACTACCCGACATAGTTTTTACTACTGTACCGCTCATATAAATTGCTCTTTATTTTCAACTCTGTACTACAAAATTTTATAACAAAACAAATCACATTATCATTATAAAATAACACACTCCACAGTCGATCATCAGTCGATTTCCAACATCAACATTTTCATTTTATGACCAATTATCACATTGACATTATTGACATATTTATTTTTTCTCACATGGCGCCTTAGACAAGGAAAGAGAGGGGACAGTAACACGGCAGCTAAAAGTGAGGCAAGTTGTCACCACGCGAAATTCTCCAATGGCGTAGCATCAGAAATTAGCTTGTACCAAGACGGTACAAAATATTTATTAAAACGTAAACTAATATATCGTTCATTTTTGAGTAATGCATTTACAATTTTGTATTTTATAGTCGCACCTTTATAATATTATTAGAATATCTAAGTCGATAATAGGGAGTTTTCGTTGCTTTAAAAAAATTCAACGGTACGGTTAACGGATACGTAACCATAACCGCTATTTTGACAGATAAAAAAACAGTTGTCGGACTTTCGGTTCATCGGTTCGGAGCCGACATACGATACGATAACCGAAAACTGACAGCTGAGCACAGCCCGTAGCGTAGTGTTTTGATTTTTGGTTTTTGTATTGTTGTTTGATTTGAAAGTGCTTTATATGCCTTTATTGGGTATCGCTATATAGGATGGACAATTTAATTTTATTGGACTCTAGTGATGAATCGGATTTGGAGGATGCTATGCTGTTGGAAGGGTTTGAAAACAACATCGAATATCGAGCAGAACTTTATGGGGAGTTCAACCTAGAAATATTATCTGACCAAGAGTGCAAAGCTAACTTCCGCTTTGAAAAAAAAGACATTCCTCGATTAGTTGAAGCACTAAGAATTCCCAACGAGTTTAACACAGATAAAATAAATAATCAAAACATAAACAAAATAGAATGAGGTTAGGTTAGATCTGTATTTTTCAATGTTGTGTTTCTACTGCGCTAGTGCGCATGCGTACCGCTATGTTAACGGCTTTGGCTAACGTCCGTAAAATATCGGCAGCTAGCGGTTACGATATACGATAATCGAAATTGAAATGTCAAAGTTGTCAATTAGCGTTAACCGGAATTGCAATTTGTAAACAACGAAAACTCCCTAATGCAAAATTTATTTAACAGTCACAGTGGACTGATTATCAAGACAATTATTTATTTATTAACGTGTGTATAATATATAATTAAATAAAAAATAATGTAATAACATATATTTTAAACGTGTATATGCATATATACTGTATGATCGAAAAAAAACGGAGTCTTGTTTGTTTGGAAATGACAATTTCACAAATGAATATTAAAAATTACATTATTCATTGAATATTGAATCCGTAAGCAAGTGTGAAGAGAATTGGCTAGATTCATTATTATACCGTTTAATCGAAAAAAAACGACGTCCAGTTGGCTTGTAAATTACGATCGATGACATTCCCCATATAATTCTACATATAAAATTGCATAAAAACTATACAAAACGACATCGAAAAAAGACGGCGTCAGCAATGGCTACGAAATGAAGATCGCTGTCATTTTATATGTAAAATTATATGGTGAATGTCATCGATCGTCATTTACAAGCCAACTGGACGTCGTTTTTTTTTTTTCGACCATACGATATAATAATGAATCTAGCCATTACCCTTCACACTTGTGTACAGATTCAATGAATAATGTAATTTTTAATATTTGTTACCTTCAATCATAAGAATAACCTATTTTTAAGAATATCCGAATTTATTCACAAAAAAATAAAACAATTCTAGAAGCTTTGTGTTATTTTATTTATTTTTAAATTTTTATTAATTACTCACTGAAACTATTATTATACACTTAAATTAGCAAATTTTTTGAAAGAATATTTAAAAAAATATATGTATGTAATAACAAGTAGCCCACCACAAGTTTGTCCACCCCCAACAAATCTTGGCAGGTAAATTTAAGTTTTATATAACTATACATAGGTATATATTTTTTATCACTAGAATTTTTCATTTTTTATAGTTTACAATTATTTTACATATTTGATAACAATACTTTACACATTTTTTTTACATGTAAAATATATAAAAAAATGTTTATTGCAGAAATTGTATTTCTCTGATTATAATTCCCTACGCCACTGGTGACATCCGGTCTGAGTAGGAATATTTATAGTTTCAAACATTAATTATAATACAGGATATTGAAAATACTACTTGGAATTATTAAAAATAGTTTGGTTTGGATGTGGTACAAGACATATTAAAAGCATTTTACATATTTTTACTGCTATAATGAAAAAAATGTACATTTTATGACCACATAACAAAAGTTGTGTCATAGTTGTGTATCGATTTTTACCTGTGAAATGTAATTCCAGCCACTTTTTTCTCGCTTCGGCCTTTGCAGCCATACTCTGAACATCTCACCATACTAAACAACAGTAACAACACAGTTTATAAATTTGAAACAAAACAGTTGTCACAAAAAACATAAAAATTCGCTCGTTGTCACCTCGAAATCTTGTCACCAAAGTATGGCCGCCGATCGAATTTTGGCCTCACTATCCTACAACGATAGGCGCACTGCAAGTGTTGACAAGAAGCTATAGCTGTGGCAAGGATATATAGAAGAAGGATATTCAACTCCCTATAGCGGGCTATGTTGGAAAATATGCCGTATTTTGTCGAGGAAGACGATTTCGTCACGACCAATGAGCGTCCAGTATTTGAAATTGAAAACATATATATTGACGGTAACCTATGTTTTTTGACTCATTTAACTGGCAGATCAGGGCCATGTAAGTGAAATATTAAAAATGGTTCCAGCAAAAGTTTCCCAATTATGACGGATGATGGCGCTGATCGTCAAAATTTTTGGACAGGGATTTTGCTTACCGACAATACGACGTGAGCTACGACCGGACCAGGACCAATCAGAATGATCAGTCTTTCTTGGACATTTGCCGCGAAAGTGTGTGTTAATTTCTGTTGTGATAAGTGTGGTTGTGTTTGCAGTTTGATTTTTTCGGTTTTGATATTATGTTAAAATTAATTTTGAAGTATTGTATCACCTGTTTTTATGTAATAGTACTTTTTTAGTTCTATGATCTGATATGTTATGATTTGTTAATGTTTGTTTAACAATGTTATACCAAAGAGGTTATACTTAATATACTTATCAATTTGCATAGCCTAACTTTTTTATGAATAAACTTTGTAGATTTTCAGATTATTTAATTCCTTTTGTTTCCGTTTGTAATTTTATTTTTTAAGACATATTATGTGATTGTTTCACATAATATGTTTTAAAAAAAATAAAATTGCAAATAGCGAATAAAAATAATTAAAATAAAAAAGTGTATTTTACAATTCCCCCCGGCCCCGCACCCCTTTGGCTAACCTATAATGTCAGCTATGTCGAGAGATGGCGTTACGAAAATGGAACCGATTTATTACAAGGAACTTGGGCTTCTTTTTCGTTAGTATATTCTGTGTGGCAGATGTGATGAGATTATTATTGTAATTTATAGATCCAAACGTTTTTTGAAAAAATAATGTATTTTAAAGTTATTTCCTAGAGTTTGGTTTAGCCTTCTATATTCTGGTATTTGTCTACTAATAAATAATATCTTATTTTGTATTTCGATGTATGGAAATCCGCAAGTTTTGTATCTGAAGCCGCAAAGAAATTTCGCTCTATAGTGAGAAAAAATGTTATTATATCTTTTTTAGACGTAGAATTACAAAATTTCTTATTTCAGATGTTCTAAATGTGAGTGCATGTCAAAAATTTAAATATATACTTGAAATATTATTTCCAAGTTATATGCTGACATTTTTGGAAGTAAACAAATATTGAAGAAAGTGTTGTGCCTTCACAGAATTTAAATCGGCATTAGGAATAGATTTCCTTGATTTAGTAATGATATTGCTCATAGAAATTGATAATGTGAAGAATAACAATACAGGAACATAGAATAACAAGAAAGAAATTCTAGCAGCAAGTTGAAGTTATAAGATAAATTTTATTTATATAGTTTGTTTAAAGAGTTTAGTTTGAAAAAAAGGTAAAACAATTATTATTGTCCAGGTCATATTTGATAACTGTTGTTAATTGATAACATATTACAGGGACACAGTAAAAAGACAAAACATTTAGACCCTTTGAAAGATAAATGTTTGCAATGGATATTAATAAATTCTAGCCAATTTGTATGATGTACAATGCAGACAATATTTCTGCCTCCTAACGCACTATTCACGTAAAAGAAGATGTGGGTATTGTATTTATAGGTAGTTAATGATACATGGAATATATTTCTATATTATTGCAATAACGATGTCTTTATGTTGTATTTTTTTAGAACAGATTTATTATTAGTTGGCTAGTGTGTTAGTAGGATAGCCATTGGCAATTATAAAGTATGAAGTTGTCACGTATTAATAATAGGAATTGATCAAAGCTTATACATTTATTGTGATATTTATATTGTGAATTTAAGTAGTTAGTTTTGGTTGTTTAATAAACGAATTAATGTGCTTATTGTGTATCTAATTAAAAGAACAATGAAAAGTTGAATACCATAGGGGTACGTATGTTATACAAAGAATTTGCATCAACATTTTTTTGGTTATATACTTGTACTGATATTTGTTTCTTGAACTAAAGAATTATACAGTACCTACTACACAATATAATAATCTGCAGCTACATAGGTAGGTAGCTGTTGGTAATTAAATTTTTTATCTAATATAATATCTAACATCAGAAATATTGTTAATTATCAACTATAAACAACTAAGAACTAGAATTATCAACTATAAACACAATATAATATACTGTATCTTAAGCAATATGTAATTATTTAACAATTATTTTTTTTGGGAAATAAAAACTGGTACTAAATTCTTTTTGACTATTTAATTTCTAAGTCACAAATAATGGTGGACAAATAGCAAGAAAATTATACAAGTAAAACATAATTTTAACTTATTTCTCTAATGGAATTTTGGTATTGATCTACTTAGTAGGATATGCAGTTTATCATATTTTTGAATATTTATATTCAATATTGTTCAGGAACAGCCCAATTACTCTGAAAAAAAAATATATGGTCAAATTCTTTGAAAAGAAACTTTTAAAATCAGTAATGATAAAAAAATATATAATTGTTGTATAGCAGAACCAGGGGACACAGAATTAGGGGAATTAACAATAGATTATTAAAAACTGCCTTCTCTTAAAAAAGTAGTATTATATGCACTTAGAAAGACTATAAAGGATATAAGTACGCATAGAAAGAAAGTAAGTATCTATACTACTGATATATATAACTATATATGAATACGATACCTACAGTATACAATATTACTAGTATAAAAATAACAGCACAGTCGGCACACTTTAAAATAAAAAAGCAGCATAATATTCAGGTATGTATATAAGTAAAATTTTCTCAAAAATATTAGAATATGAAATAAATTGCAACTAAATTTTAATTAATAAACATAAACAAATAAAATGGTCAGTGTTATTAAAACTTTATGCAAATATATGTTACCTTAATACTTGTCTTTAATCCTACTCTTCTGACATGGCTTTTCAAACTTATCCCCAAATCTCAATTCTTGTTATTAAGAATAATATTTATGAACTTTTGTTTCCATATTAATTTCAATATATTTGAATAAAACTGGAAAAATAATCAATATTGACACTTGAAATATTAATTTCTTATGTCCTTAAATTATTTATATCGTGTTATACATAATATTTACATAAATATTCAATTTAAAAATAGATCAGCACTTGAACGAGTGAATATAAAATAGTATATCATCAATTTCTATGAGCAATATCATTACTAAATCAAGGAAATCTATTCCTAATGCCAATTTAAATTCTGTGAAGGCACAACACTTTCTTCAATATTTGTTTACTTCCAAACAATGTCAAAGCATGTAACTTGAAATAATATTTCAAGTATATATTTTAATTTTTGACATTAAGCACTCACATTTAGAACATCTGAAATAAGAAATTTTGTTATTTTACGCGTCTAAAAAGATATAACATTTTTCTCACTATAGAGCGAAATTTCTTTGCGGCTTCAGATACAAAACTTGCGGATTTCCATACATCGAAATACAAAATAAGATATTATTTATTACTTAGTAGACAAATACCAGAATATAGAAGGCCAAACCAGGGGCGGGAATCTTAAATATGCTGATAGAACGAGCGACTTTAGCGCCATCTACAACCGTTATCCCAACTAGTTTCCATTAGTATATCTATTCGGCGGTAGATGTCAGAAGCAGCGTATCAAAAAGAAAACGACGCGATCGACCGTCATCGATCGACGCCATTACTTGAGTTTGTAAACAACAACTTTCTACTGGAAACAGTTAAAGAGTAGTTTTACGTTTTGTGCTTGTGTTGTGCTTATTTTGTATAAGTATCTTTTTCTTAACAATATAATGAGTCCAGCAAGTCGTATTCGTCCTTGTAGTGTTCCTGAGTGTAGCGATAAATTATCCAACAGGTAAGTTTTTAAAAACAATATCTATTAGGGTAGCAAAATTATTCAGCGCGATTACCCGATATTTACCTAATTAGTATAGAACCTTAATCAATTTTAGTCATCTTCTTATACTTGGCTAGTAAAAATGTTTTGTTGTATAAATTGACATAAAATTATATTGTAAGATGTTTTTTATAACATATAAATAATATATGTTTGGACCTAAGAATATTTAACTACAAACTATTTTTCTAAACTGTTTTATGTCTTATTTCATAATCTAATTTTTTTTAATTTTTAGACACGCAATTCCATCTAATGTAAAGTTGAGAAATGTTTGGCTAAGCAGAATTCACAATAAGAAATTAACCGCGCTTTCTAAAGAGAAGACAAAGTTAACGATATATAAAGTTTGTAATGTTCATTTCGAGCCACAATGTTTCAGCAATAATAATATCTTATTGAGAAATGCTTTGCCAACATTATATATTCCCGGATATGAAAGAGTGGAAGGAGATTGCTTCTATAGAGAACCTTCTGTAACAGGAAGAGAAACTCCACCAAGGTTTATAGGTTAGTTTTTGTTTGAAAAAAATAAATTCTAAATTGAAATTTAAGAAAGAGGTATTAAGTTATATCCAATATATTGACTATAATATTATTTCAGAAGCTCTTACTTCCACACCATGTTCTGTCTTATCTAGCCCTGTAGGACATGTAAAAATTCCCCAGAAAACTTATGCCAAGAGAAAACTTTTTGTAACCCAGGATGAAATAGAGGAACCACAGCCCAAGATGCTAAGATTTGTACATAATACCCATAATACTGATGATAATTTGCAAGGTAATTTGATTTATATATAAATTTTATTGGTTTTAATGGTTTTAATGAAAACAATAGTCATTTTTTGAAAGGTGCTTTTGGACTTAAGCACGCACACACTGAGTGTTGGTTTTTGATTGGTGCTCAACGGAATTTTCTGTGTTTGCGAACGCTCAGTTTGCATCGGCAATTTGTTTTGTATGCGTGCGTGCGTGCCTTCACCAATTCGTCAAAAAATAAGTTTTAATTTAAACGAGAGCCGAGAACGCAAACGAATACCGTTCGCGTACGCACAGCTCATGCGTGCTCAAGTCTAAACGCACTTTAATGTAGCATTTTTACTATATCATATTTTCCTAATTTTTTACTATGTATTTTAGACGGGCCACAGGCTTTAATATCCAAATTTCAACCAAGGAGGCAAGATATTGCTGATAGTTTTCAAGGTATTATTTTATTTACATATACTAATAATGACACATTTCAAAAATTATGTAAAATTTACTTGGTTATCTTGTTTTTTAATTTACAGCTTTATTTTCAAACATATTAGTTTTTAGTATCATAGTTATCTATAGCTATCTGGTTAAATATAATTTATAAAATAAAAAAAACATATATAAAATATTTTGTTTCAGAAGAACCACAGCCTTCAACCTCGAAACAAAATAAAAGGATAACCAAGAGGCAAAATACTGGTACTGTTAATTTTCAAGGTGATTATATTTTAAAGATTATATTATGAAGACTTAATGATTAAGCAACAATTACATATTAAAAATATTTGCGAAATTAAATTAAAAAATTCATTAAGCCGTCAACAGTCATAGTCTGATTCAATATTCTTGATCTGATTTTTTTTACCCTACAGTATTTATTGACATTCTTTAATTATTGCTTTATAATATAATTTAGCTATTTTTATTGCCCATTTTGATAATTATTGTTTTTAATAATAATTAATAATAATTAAATCTTTTCATATGTACTTTTGATCGAGTTTATATAAAAATTCTATTATGGTTGTCATAAAACGAAAGAAATGAAAATAAATACCATATGATGAAAAAAACGGCGTCCAGTTGGCTTTGAAATGACGATCGATGATATTTCCCATATAATTTTTCATATACATAAAATGACAGCGATCTTCATTTCTTAGCCATCGCTGACGGCGTTTTTTTTCCAACTTATTGTATTTACAATATTTTAAAAAATATATAGGTGTTTTTTTATAAAGGATTTAGGGGAGGAGGGGTTATAAAATTGGTGTAGGACAAACATCTATATAAATATATCATCCTATTTTTTTTCTTTTAGAGAGTATCAATTTTCTAATTATTGTTTTTTGCACATTTTTTTAAAAATATTTATTTTTTTAAGAATCACATATGTCAAAAAATAAATATGGAAGGCCACTGAGTGAAAATGAAAAGGTTTTGTTGAGTAGGATATCCAGACTTCGCAAGGATCTAACAAAATCCAGAAAGATGACGACTCGTACGAAGCAGCGATTGATGAGAAAACAAATTAATATTTTTAAGGATGTCAACGAAACCACTATACAATTGTTCCTCAGCCAGGTAAGAAATCAAAAATTACATCCTAAAGGGAGACGTTTTACACTGGATGACAAAATATTTGCACTTTCACTGTTCAAACAAAGTGGTAAATCATACAGATTTATCTCAAAAATTCTTGCTCTACCTTCACGTAAGACTCTTTTTAAATTACTTAGACAAATTCCATTTAATTGTGGCATAAACTCTCACATTTTTATTCATTTAGAACAGACAGTTAAAAAACTAAATCAGTTAGATAAATACTGTGTCTTAATGTTTGATGAGATTTCATTATGTCCTGGTTTAGCTTACAATCCGTCCAAAGATTGTATTGATGGTTTGGTCGATTTTGGTGGTCCAGAGAGAAGAGCAATCTTTGCAGATCATGCTTTAGTTTTTATGCTAAAAGGTATTCGTAAAAAATGGAAACAGCCAATTTCTTTTTATTTTTCTGAGAGCGCTACTCCAACTGTCGATTTAGTTAGGATTATCAAGGATGTGGTAAGACATGTTCGTCAGACAGGTTTAAAAGTTATTGCAACTGTTTGTGACCAAGGAACAACCAATGTTGCAGCTATAAACTATCTGAAAAATGACACCAACGCTTATTGTGTTAGAAATGGTATTGAGA